GCCAAAGCGGTTTGTCTTATTCAGGCCGGCTACAGGAGATAATTTGCAATATTTTGTTCACGTGGTTTGTGTTATAACCAATCAATGTAATCGCGGTGGAGAAGGAGGGGAGAAGCTGGTGGAGAAGGAGGAGGGGGAGAAGGGAGAAGGTGTGAGGAAGGGAGAAGCTGGTGGAGGAGGAGGGGAGAAGCTGGTGAAGGTGGTGGAGAAGGAGGAGGTGGTGGAGAAGGTGGCAGGGAGGTGCCCTTCTCCCTGGCACCACCTTCTCCCTTCTCCACCACCTCACCACCAACCTTCTCCACCACCTCCTCCTTCTCACCCCGCTTCTCCCTTTCTTCCCTTCTTACATTCTCCACCCGCTTCCTCCCCCTCCTCCTTTCCCACCAGCTCTCCCCCTCCTTGTCTCCACTAGCTTCTCCCCCTCCTCCACCACACTTCTCCCTCCTCCTCTCCATGCACCTGCTTCTCTCCCTCTTTCCCACACCCTTCCTCCCTTCTCCCGTTCCTCCTTCTCCACCATCTTCTTCACAGCTGGAAGTGACGTCACGAACACGCGATTTACATCTGATTCGGTTATAACACAAACCACGTGATAAAAATAGCAAATTATCTCCTGTACCGGGGCCTGAATATAGACAAACCCACGCCAAACAGTCGCCGTGCGGCCATCTATCGCACACAAAATTTGCTACACTATGTTTTAGGGGTCAGTTATCCACTGAGACTTAAAAACCAGATTAAAACTCACTGCATCACCATCAAAAGCTAGAGATGCCACCAAATATGACCGTCAATTTATTGACAACGTTTTCACAAATATCGCCTATATACTAGCAGGCATTACAGTATACATGATATTATTGGTAAGGTAACTTTAATATGATCACTGTGTACTGCCTGTCCTACCCTACCCGTAACAGAGTACAAGACAGGTGTATATCCGCCCTCAAAAACTTTCAGGGTATACTTGGTCAACTTAGCAGGATATAAACAGCTATTGCATATGACAAAAGGCAGTTTTACCACATAGCAAGAGAAATCATGTTGTGGCGCCCAGTTGAATTTCAAAATATGGTTCTGTGTCTCGAAACGTTCCCATATGGTCAAGATTTTCCTTGGGTGTATTGGGAAATACTTGCGTGATAATGGAGCAAAAAGTATTTGAATATAAAACGGTATCTTTTGCCTTAACGTGACCCAGGCAGTCTTGGTGGCTCGCATTATGTGCGGTCCTTGCAGGTATGACATTGCTATCGAAACAATGGAAAGACTCCAGTGGGAAGCATTCTTGATGAATTTGGCATAGAAAGTTCCAGGGCCCTCTTGTGCCAGGCTTGCCCCCTGAGGAAATGAAAGCAAGTGTCTCAGAGAAGGATCGGATAGAAACGTCAACAGCTGCTTGCCGATTGCTACCTCATCAGGTATCCTGTTTGATAACTTCGAGGAGTTGAAACGACAGAAGAGCGAGAGAAGTGAAACATTTAGATACTGGGCTTTCATTGAGTGTGTCAATTGGCAAAGGACCTTGTGCGAGCTGATCGGGAAGGGAATTGGCAAACTACACTTGGAAACTGTTGAGGCTATCCGCCTTACTTCGGCGACATTTGACTCGACCAACTACCTTTGCTGGAGTTCCCTATACCTTGCAGAACATGCAAAAGTCTGCCTGAGACGGCACCAGCTATTCATGAAACTTTTTGAATGGGGGCTTTGTGATCAAGCGTTCGTCAGCTCCATTCACAGCCGTTGCAATGGACATGTGCTTAAAACAAACGATAAACGCGTTCTTCAAAGAGCAGTGCCGGTATAATTGGTAGCACCAGGAAGAAGCAATACGTTACGAAATGGAATATATAATTCACCATGAAATGATGGTCTGTTAACCACTGTTTAGGGAGATAAGCGGAGTCAGAATGGACGATCAGAGTTATTTGTCATACCATGAATCACCACTGACGTACTGAAGGCTGGCAGCAAAGGTTGATGACATGAATGGCATATTGTGGTTACCCATGAGAATCCGTTCAAAGTTGTCGAATGATACAGAACAACGGCTGACAGCATCCTGTCGTCTGCCATTATGCCTGATGATGTTCGAAAGGATCTGGTGACAATCAAGGAATCTGGTGTTGAGAGGTACAATGAGTTTCGAAAAGGATAGACTAATAGACAAAACGAAGGCCTCAGTGATGTATTCATAAACGGAACTTGAAGACGTTTGCAAGCGCCATCGTCGAAAGAAGAAACCAGCAAATATCAAACACAAACAAGAAAGGAAGGATTTTGGGTCAGCACAGAAGAAGTTAGATATTGCTCGAGTACGCGGTTGTGATGCCTGATATGTGTTCCAACACGACCTCGTGGTGTCTCCCAGTTACCTATTCGATGACGATGGGTTTATGAAGAAACCTGCAAAGTCTGAACTGACAAACGAACTCGAAAAAGAACTGACCAGTGCTGATTACCAAGCTCCGTCTCATGGACGCAATGCCAACTTCATACTTTGTAGATGTAATGCATATGTGAGAAAGATTAGAAACGTCGTCATTGAGAACATTTGGAGATTTCGTGATATTCTTGAAAACCGTCATTGCGTTGAGTGTCAATGCCAGCCGTATCGACTTTGTTTTCGGATCCCTACATCGAAGGATCTGTGAAGGACAGTGAACGACAATGGAGGACACTGAGACCACGATCGAGTAACAGTAATCTCAATCCTGAGACTAAAACTGCAAAGGAAATGGACACTTTCTGGGCATCCAGGCAATAAGGCAGACTAAAGGAACTGCTGACTAGGTTTCTGATTGACCAATGTCCTACACGAGTCCCTGGTGTGGAAATTGTAGTTAGCCAAATGAAGGGAGCACAGTGTCTACGAAGACAAAGTTAGTCCATTCGGGAATTACAAACGAATACCAATGAACTCGATTCTACTCTGGAAGAAGCGGATGTTCGAATCATGCCCCATTTTTGCATGCCATCAGGATCGGTGTCAAGAGGATTGTCGTGCTGTCAAATGAACACTGATGTGTTGGTGCTGGTTGTTACATTTCAGCCAGATCTTTAAAACGCAATGGTATGGTTTAACTGTGGATGGAGAGCAGGTGTAGGGGACCAGTATCAGGTACATCCCAGTACATGTAATTGGCAGCAAAGCAGGGGCGTGAATTATGTGATGTACTGCGGCCGTTAATGCGTTGACTGGATGTGACATCACAAGCAAATTTGGCACCAAATTGGCAGCGCTCAAAGCGAAAACCAATAGCACACTCAAGGACTTCGGGAAGAACTCGACAATTTGTGTCTAGCTGAATCGAACTAATCTGGTACAGAGTCGTGAAACATGGTGACCATACTATACAAAATATGGATGAATTACGACATAGTCTAATACCACCACAGCGAAGTCTGCTGACCGTTCTAGACTTGCCACCGACTAGCCACGCAGCTACAGGACATATTCTCAGAGCCTTTTACCCACCTATAGTCAGATGAACTGTTTGAGTGCCCTTACTCTGGAACTACAAGACTTTGGATTCGAATTATCAGGTAGCTTGCTTGTTCCAGGAAGGTTCTATCTACCTTTGCCGGACGATGTTGCAGTTGTGTGTTCCTGTGTGAAGTGTTCTACTACCTGCAAGGTGCTGTGTCAACAAATGGTGCCAAGTGTTGCGAATTTTGCAAATGCCAGACCGAACAAGTCAAGTGACTGCTAGAAACTCATAATTGGTATCCTAAGGACACAGTGATCAGTATTAAAGTTACCTTACCAATAATATCATGTGTACTGTAAATGCTGCTAGTATTATAGCGCGTAATGTGAAAAGTTGTCAATAAATGACGGGTCATATTTGGTGTCATCATAGCTTTGAATGGTGATGCAGTGCGTTTTAATCTGGTTACTAGTCTCAGTGGATAACGCATGACCCCTAAAACATGGGGATAGACACGGAAAATTACCCTTCTATCATAAGTCTGCGAGAAGTTATAGCAGTTTATATGATACGGTGTCCTTTTCGGTGGCCATCTTAGATTTAACATGATGCAATGCATTTCGGTACGGTATCAGTTTTAATGGATAGCCTGACCCATAAAAATATAGGGATAGACACCAAAAATCAACCTCCTATCATAAATAGTGGCGATTATGGTCCATTACTATGAATTGACAGCCATCTTGAACTCGCCATCTTGAATTTCACCTATCCTTCCCATGATTCAGAATGTCTACCCAAGTTTTTTTTACTCCCAGGGGTGTCCCCTACATGAATCAAGATTGAAGATTGAAGATTGAAAACAGTTTATTTGTGCATAAGACATACATAAATACAGAGTACATCGTTATAAAAGAAATAATTACATGTAGTAGTACAATTTTAATCAGTTAATTTAAGCACGGGAGTGGCGAAGGACACTTAAGTCATCTAGTCTGCCACCCCCAAGAGTAGATTAAACGTAAAGCAGCCGCTGAAAGCGTGAAACTGCGGGGACATATAAATGCACACAGGACTTCCCCAGCTGATAGATTATTAGTCGTTAGTCACACAGCCTGGTTCAGTGGTTGGGTTACAGCTATGCCTATGCATGGTTACAGTCGCCAGCCGGGGAGGAACTAACTACGCCAAGTAAGTTATCAGTGACAGTGATTTCAATGGTCCTACATAATGTACATGTCTCCCATGTAGTGCTATCATTTGGCAGTACTTTGTTATTTATCGTTAACTTAGTACATCGTTGATGACGCGATGCTCTCTATACTTCCCAGGGAATCAGCTGAGAGTGAAGGAGCTGATGTCGCAGGGTCACCTGGTAAACCCACGAGATGGCGCTGGCTGGACGCCGCTGCATGAGGCGGCCAATCACGGCCACGCGGAGATCGTGCGCTTGGGTGTTGCCAAACTGCATGCAGTGCCCCTTCCCCACTGATCTCTATATAATATAATTGTTTATTATATTAGATAGATTATATTATAGAGATCAGTGCCCTTCCCACACTCAGGATAATACAGCCTCAGGATACTCAGTAGAATTGAGCCAGAGCGAGAGCGCCATCTGTCGTGGAGTTTGAGCGCGTGGGTGAAAGATCGTGGGGGGGCGCCACTGCGGCGGGCTGATTCCGCTGCACGATGCTGCGCAGAACGTGGCATCTTAGCTTTATGCAGGTACACTTACACTCCATTCATTGTACGCCGAGCTATAGCGTCATGGTAATGCAATAAGTACTTGTAACGAGGTCCTGCTTACTTTTGTCAAGGTTCCGCAATTGCGTTGTTTCGGCATCAAATTGTAAGGTAGCATTCAGTGTGCATATGACAGAGCTGCTCAAGATATTGTTCTAATGTCTCGTTGTCGTCTGCCCGCCATTATCCTTTGCTAGTATGTGCGCCTTGTGGTCCAGCAACAGCAACAGCAACGGTGGCGCGGCAGGGAGTAGTGAGAGAGTGGCGATCGAGCCAGCAATGCGTGTGAGAGTAAACGTCGAGGGAAAGGTTTTCCTTATTCCGCTGCCGCGACACGAAGCAGGCAAGTATGGAAGCATCCCTCGGTTATGCGGCTCCATCTCTGACGTAGTAAAACGCTGCTTAACCATTACCATGATGTCCTTCCTCCTAGACCGAATAATTCTGTCCCATATAACCTTTTTTATATTTTGGTGAGGGTTATATTGGCCAATATAACCCTCACCAAAATAGAAAAAAGGTTATATGGGACAGATTTATTCGGTCTACCTTCCTCCTTGAGCATTGATTAAGCATTCCTTGTTGAGTGGTTCATTGTGTTGTGGTGCTGCATAACCTAGCTGAAAATTTCGGCATAAGTGTTTTTGTCTTTTTGTGGTAATTATTTGACAGTAATTGAGCTGAATTTGTACAAGTTTTTTTTAAATCGTATCCCGTGAACAAATTTCCATACAGGAATGAGCTATAAACGAATTTGTGTGTTAGGTTTATGTGAAGCAATAGAGTTAATTTAAAAATTCGAATCTATATAGCTTCTATCTACTTACATCTCATAAGTACTGCGCATATAGTTTCTCGAAAGCAATGGTATTGACTGTAAGGTAACCTTTATTTTAAACAATATCAAGGGCCCATTAAGTAGTACGTTGAGCAAGAGTGTTAATTGTTAATTGCATGGCTCTTGACAATCTGCGACCATGATTATACAAACTCATCTTGACCTCTACTATAGGCCAAACGTAAAAATCCAACTTCTGACATATGAGCCTTGCTGTGTTGACAGATGAGAGGAGGATTAGTTGGTTAGCGGGCGAAGCATCTCAGCGCTATTACGCTGCTAATGGTCGATGGCCTCAGCTGACGCTCTACACTAAAGATGGCACTGCGCTCGGATCCGACGACATCGTCACCGATCTGGTGACAAACAATGAGGAGATCGTAGCTAGTGTAGAAACATGGGAGATGCCTCCTGTAGCAGAAAGGCACGTCTGTTATGTCAGCATTGCTTGCGTGATCTGTGGTGTCTTTCTCAAGCACAGAATCTAGACCCCTAGGTGTCTTTCTAGAGCACAGAGATCCCTAGGCATGTATGCATGTGTCAGCATGTATTCCATCACGATAGTTGAAGCTTATGTTCATAGACGTCAGTCAACTTAATTGTTGGTAGTTCAATATTGATGGCATTCTGATCTGAAAGCTCGAAAGTGACCCTTGAATTAGCATTAGCCTATCTATCATGTAATTGGTTCATGCTGTATTTTGGCCCCGTATCACACTGGGTTCACGCCTGTATCATGACCCGTGTATGTTGTAATTTGTTTATGCACCATGCTTCATGTCCCGTGTATGTCATATGTAATGTTATCATGCACGGGCATGTTTCATCAGGGCCCGTGTATTGCGAAATGTTTTGCATGTCATGTCATGCGTCATGTTATATCATGTAGTGACGCCACGTTGCATTGTTGCAGGTATGCGTCTGCGTGTGAGGCGGCAAGGACCCCGCGATACAACAACATCACGGCCGCGTTACGTATGGCTGACTCCACGCACTGCCTGCGCCTGAGAGACCTCGCCATGCGCCTCCATCAGGCGCGCCCCCTGCTGCGCTCGCTACCGGGGGAGTACGCCCTCACCGTCCTCGATCTGTCCGGTAACCGCCTCGGCGATGAGGGATGCAAGGAACTCGGTCACGCCCTCCCCTCCCTCGACGCCCTCGCCACGCTCAACCTCCTCGGCAACGAGGTCACGCAGCGGGGTCTGCGCGAGCTGGTCGACGGCGGCAGCGCGGGGGGGCCACGTCTGCCCGCGCTGTGCAACCTCGAGCTCGGCTTCAACCTGCTCGGTGACGCGTGCGCGCGGCCGCTCGCTGCCGTGCTGGCTCATGCGCCGCGGCTTGCCTCGCTCGGGCTGTGCGCGTGCGACCTGACGGCGGCGGTCTTCCAGGATGCGGCGCTCGCCGGCGCGCTCGCTGCGTTGGAGAGCCTCCGTTGCGTCGACGCGACCTGGAATGAGCTTGGCGTGAGCGGCACGAGGCTGCTGCACGGGTGTGTTAGGTCGGGGGTTACGGTGAGCCACGATGTCGTGTCGCCGCGGGCGTGCGACTGTGATGGGGTCTACGATCGGCAAGCCGACGGGTGTGTCGCGTGACTCTATGACGCTTCCTCGGTCGATATGCGTGGACGAGGGAGAGACACAAATATCTGTGTGAATGCATAGTGTAATTACATGTGATAGTGATTTCTGATCATATTTTTGTACCATTGCAAATCGTAATATTTTGACGGTATTTTTCTTGTACATGTGTTTAATGCTACATCAAACTACTCATTAGGCTGTTGGCTTTTTGCATGTTCAAAGGGTATTTGTTGCATTGATTGTATAATACCAGAAGTAGATAATAGCTAGGGAATCTACTTCTGATAATACGTAATAGAAATTATGTGGTGAAAATTAATCTATTTCATTTCTGTTTATGATTTTACTAGGCAAGATTTCTCGTATCAGTTGTAGTATACAGTACTATTAATTAAGTTGCCTAATAAAAATAAACGTAATTTCACGAAACTCAAGAATATTGAACTTTGAAGCCATAGAATCTTTTACATTATCATGAAGCAAAGCTGCAAGTTACAGCCAGAGGGTACAAGAAGTAACAACAGGTGGCGCTACACCACACGTAAACATGGCTTGTCATAGCTGTGCAACAAAGTTTGGACTTTTCAAGAAAGAAGTAATTATCCATGATAGATGTAGGACGTATAATATTAGAAGATATCAGAGCTTGCGTAATTTCTAGACTCAGTCATTTCAAAACCCAACTTCCAAGGAAACTCGTAGTCGTTCAGTTCTACTATCACTCACTTTCACTCTCTGAGACTGAGTCTCTCATCATGACTCATGTCACTGACAGTGATGCCGTGTCATGCTGCCGCGTTCTTAGCGACCACGGTGTCAGAGGTTGTTTTACTAGTACTACGTATCACGTTATTTCAAAGGACCGTAATATTTATCCCTTCATACTTATAGTTATACGTAATACACCCGTTGACAGTTTAACACTGTTCATGCGCTTAAGCCTAAGCCTAAGGTCAAAAGTCGGGAGGAGTTTCCGTCCCAGAATTGTGAGTAAAATTCTTTACTCGTGTGAAACGTGTAGTGTGAAGGGTTGTTCAAACGGATCGTATTGGCTTAAGAAAGACTTAGAGCATGAATTAATTGACCATAATTTAAATGTATCAAGTGTCATGTCACTCAGGTCATCCATTATCGGTGCTCTATTCCTTGCTACGTGCACTGTTCTTCGATACAAAGGTGAGCGACCTGCGTATGCAAGGTAGACAACGCATCGAGATAAACAACATGGCAGAGTTTACTCGCACATCCGCTGTCGCGGAGATGCGAAACTACTGGCGCAGAACTGTCAATCGGTGTATAACCATTAACCTTGCTTGATTACTTTGTAAACCATTTGATTTGCTATAATGTACCGTAGGCGTAGTGTTACTAAGGCTGAGAGGGTCCCTGTCCGGTTCAATGATAGAGATGATGTCCAGGACGGTGATAGGATAGGATGATGTTTATTACTGGACATGCTCTCTATCCTTGAGCCCCTATGTCCCCCAGGATACTGCCGGAACGTACCCTGGTACTATCTAATATGCCGGACCGTACCTCGCCTACTCCACTAACGAGTCTAGGGAGTCGCCTACTCCTACTCCCTAACCCTAACAGTTAAGTTTGTTGTAGAATAGGGAAAGTTGATCGATTGAGTGAATCACTTGTTGCAAAAGGTACCCGGATGTTGACCTTATAACGCCATTTAGGCAGGCTCGGCGATGTCTGTTTCTTTGTTGTGCGTAGAATTTAGTGGCAAACTCCCGTTTGTTAGGTTATACCTATAATGTGGTTGCAACACGGTTATTGTGCCTGTGGGCTGAACTTAAGACAAGGAAGAATGTAGGTTTTGTTGTTTGTGAGCGACATCAAGAAGGCACGGAGGTTAGTACTTAAGTATAACGTGACATTTATGAGATTTATGTACTACCTACGTAAGACAGGTATTTTCTTTGTCTAGTTGCGGGCGATGTCATGGTGTTGATACTGTATGTACATTGTAATGCTATGCACATGTGTATGTACATTATAAAGTACACTTGACCGTATATTACTTTCTCTATTTTAGGAGTTGAAATTACACTAGTACGTTATAAGGTGAATTGAGAATGATGCTAGAAGATGTCATGATGATTGTAATATCTTGATTTATTATGCATTCGTATTATACTTTGTTTTATACAGTTTTAACGAAGCGAGGCAAAGCAAGCCACGAGAATAAAGACGCTTCTATAAAATGACTAAAAAACCTGAGTCTTTGAGTTGATGATATCACACGTTCTCACAAGCAGCAACAGTTAAAACTCCTCCAAATATTACAACCTACCATCAGCCAGCTGTCGAGTCCGAGTCACCATGGCTGAAGACTCGGTTCGGCTTTCCAGGGAATCGAAACTTACTGAGAAAGGTCTACAGAGTCAGTTGAACGTAAAGGTTCGTGACTTTCGAAGCTGCATCGCATCATGGCGGCGTGAAGCGAATGGTCTTCGAGCCCTGCTAGGGAATGAAAGTGAAATTGGAGACATCACGACTAGTGGTGTAACGGTTAACCGCGGTTAACCGAAAACCGCGGTTTTTGCGCCACCATTCGGATATTCGAACCGTCGTTCCGTTTTCGGCTCGGTTTCGGTTCCACATTTTATATATACCCGATATATACGCTTTTGAGATACGCGCACTGCGATTGGCTGGTCGTAAACTCTCGGCCAATCAGCGAGCGGATAACATTGATAGACCACTTGCTACATGCCAAACTGACATGTCAAAATGACATGCAAAAATGACAACTTATGTTGATCCGCCGGCCTCCTACAGATCTATGATATGGAAGCATTTCGCATTTCCAACAATCGGAGGGTCCGTAGATGGACTATTGGACATATTTGCCTATTTGGTTACTTTTACTGAAGTCAAATATTTGAATTTCCTGTACAAAGGTTTTGTTGAATTTGCCCTAACATTTGGGTATTGTATATTAAAGGTTTGTTGTTCAAAGAATTTTAGTGATGTTATTATTTAATATTTATAAACCAGTCTGATTATTAAATTTGCACTTCTGTTTGGTGTTATAAGATTTGTAATTGATCGCAAATATTTGAACTGAAAATAACCGAACCGAAATGTGAAAACCGAAAACCGAACCGAACCGTGAAGTTGTGATTCGTTGCACCCCTAATCTCGACCCACAGAGATGCTCTACAAGAGTGTGTTGACAAAGCAATCAATTTTCAAGAAGAACTCTCTGCACTTCGATTGGCCAATAACGATGACGACGACAGTCAGGAAAGACTAGAAGAGATCGAGGCTGATCATGGGGACATGATGAAACAGACGCTGGACAGGATTATGATTCTCAGAGGAGACAGTCCTTCGTCACATGTTTCATCTAAGTCCAGGGCAAAGAAGTCATGTTCAGCAGCCTCTTCACAGAATTTTTCTAGCAACTGTCGAGAAAGGGTAACTGGCCTGCCAAAAGTAGAACCGACGGATGAGAAAGAAAGAGTGCCAGATCCGCCGAGTCGTCAAAGTTCCGCCAAGCAACCTGCCATTTCCACAGAGGCATTTGGAAGTCTGTTTGAGCAGATGAGGATGACACGGCTTCCATTACCAGAGCCATCGATCTTCGCAGGAGATCTTCTGCAATATCCAGCTTGGACTCACGCGTTCAACATTCTGATTGAGCAGAGTGGGATAAGACCGATGGACCGCTTCTTCTACCTTCAACGGTATTTGAGAGGCCAACCGCATGAGCTGGTAAGAGGATACGCCTTGATTGGAGACGAAGGCGCCTACTTCGACGCTTTGGCTGCTTTGAAGAAATGGTACGGTGACCCTTTCATTATTTCGAACGCATTTCACGATAAGTTGGAGGGATGGCCGAAGATTCAACCAAAGGACGCCTATGATCTCAGGCGAGTGTCGGATTTCCTACATCAATGTGTCTCTGCAATGGGTAGAATTGGCAACATGCATCACTTGAACGATGAACGTGAGAATCAGAAGATCTTAGCCAAACTACCTGATTGGTTTATCTTACGTTGGTCTAGGAAGGTGTGCAATTGGATGGAAGTTCAAGGAGATTTCCCACCTTTTCATATCTTTGCAAACTTCGTGGAGGAAGAGGCCTAGATCGCTTTCTACCCTGTCACATCGCAACAGGGCTTGAAGTGTAACATGTCTTTTGCACGTGTCACATGGATTAGTGCGTGGAGCTAGACTGGTAGTTGTTTTAGCCATAGTCTAGCAGACTCTAGCTAGACAGAACGTCGCGCATATTGGGCGGCGGCATTGATGTTACAAGGAGTTGGATAAGCGGGTTCTAGGTTAGGCAGTTTCTAGCGTGATTGTGAAATGAGGGGAACGGTTGGAACTGGACAGAACGGGTGACATGTGCGCTCAAGATGTAGGGAGTTTTGGGCGAATATATAGGGAGAGATGTAATAGGAGGGGGATTGGAGATTTGGGTTCTGGGCGCGGAGCTGAGCACACGCGCGTATGCGCGTGTGCACGTTCTTTGTCTGTTTGTGCAATTGTCTGATGATGTGGCTACACAGTGTATGAGTATTAAAGGTTGTACAGTTTACCACACAAGTTTGGATCTACTTCATTTCTACATGTACTCATCATTTGTAATGACATGTCTCTCGTCTGCAATGAGAGACATCCTACACCCCTTCATGGTGATACTTGGAGCTCATCGAGTTAAGGAAAGGCTAATGAGAGGACTCGAGACAATGCAGGTTTGCCTAGTGGGATGCCGGGGCATCACTCCCGCTCTATGATGAATAACACTGGGATCAACTCCAAGAGTGATGATTGTGCCAGTGTGGTTATCTCACCAAAGCCTTCCAGAGGAGAAGATGACATATGCTCTCCTTGACACGCAATCCGATACTTTCTTTCTTCTGGATTCGACAAAGGAAGCCATGGGACTTCAAGGGATTGATGTCAATCTTCATCTCTCGACGATGTCGAGTCAGGATGAGAGAATTACGAGTGAGCGTATCGAGGGTCTTTCGGTGCATGCTCACAACAGCGCCAGGAAGATTGATCTCCCACCTACATACACTCGAGACATCATGCCTGCCAACAGACATCACATACCAACATCGGAGATGGCTAAAGGTATTCCACACCTTGCTGCGATAAGTCACAATATGCTCACGCGTCTACCCCGAAGTTAAGAGCATATGAATATGCCATTCATAAAAAGCAACTCTTTCGATGACAGTGTATATAGCGTTCTCACATACAGGAATTGCGATGGCGATGCACTTAAGCATTGCGAAGTGAATGCATATAGAGTTGCTAGCCTATGATGTGTATATGTATGAAGCGATAATTGCGTTGAACGTAAGTTCAGGTAGATTAATAGGTAAGTACTGCCTAACCATATCCTA